AAGCCGTAAGGAGCAATTAAAGTTTTATCTGTAACGAAGCTGCAGGTAACAGTACAAATGTCTAAATCAGGGAATATTTACATCCTAGCGGTGCGGACGACTTCGGAAAATAGGTGATGATGTGATGGTATTCCTACACAACGAATACTGATGCCCAAGCCAGATACATTTACCTGAATTTACCTGATGGGCACTAACATTCTAGTGGCCTCGATGAGGACAGGACAATATCTTTCAACAATATCTTTCAGGACCCTTTATCTTGAGGTTATCGTGAGATGATTTTGGGGCTTAGTGTCCCCGCGGCCCGGTCCTCGACCAGGCCTCCACCCCCAGGAAGCAGTCCGTGACAGCTGACTAACTCCCAGGTACCTAATTTACTACTAGGTAACAGGTGCATCAGGGTGAAAGAAACTCTGCCTATTGTTTCTCGCCGGCGCCCGGAATCGAACCCAGGATCACGCATCCAGTATTCTGTCCGCTCAGCCACCGGCTCCCTTTCCTCCGTTTTATGAGCTGTCAAAAAAACTTCCTGTAAAATAGTCTAATAGGAGGTACAGGTGTTGTGTTAGTTGTCTCTTCAGAGGTTGCATGGCATTTTACCTTTCTTTTTATGATGTCTTCAACAAAACCATTAGTGAAGCCGTTGTTGACTAGGACCTGCCTTACCCTACAGAGTTCGTCATCGACTTGCTTCCATCCTGAGCTGTGGCTGAGAGCACGGTCGACATAAGCGTTAACGACACTACTCTTGTACCTGTCTGGGCAGTCACTGTTGGCATTCAGGCACATTCCTATGTTTGTTTCCTTAGTGTAGACTGCAGTGTGGAAACCTCCGCTCCTTTCCATGACTGTTACATCTAGAAAGGGCAGCTTCCCATCCTTCTCCATCTCGTAAGTGAAACGCAACACAGAATTCCACTCAAATGCCTCCTTCAGCTCCTGCAGATGTCTGACATCAGGTACCTGTGTAAAAATGTCGTCAACATTTAGGCTAAGTCAACATTTGACGTCAACGTCAACGAGAGCCGGTCGGCCGAGCGGACAGCACACTGGACTTGTGATCCTGTGGTCCCGGGTTCGATCCCGGGCGCCGGCGAGAAACAATGGGCAGAGTTTCTTTCACCCTATGCCCCTGTTGCCTAGCAGTAAAATACCTGGGTGTTAGTCAGCTGTCACGGGCTGCTTCCTGGGGGTGGAGGCCTGGTCGAGGACCGGGCTGCGGGGACATTAAAAAGCCCCGAAGTCATATCAAGATAACCTCTCAAGATAACATACCTGCAGTATATGGCCGGTTTCAAGTCCATGTCGACTAAGACCATCTGCTCGATGGTACCCATGTAGAAGTTCGCAAACAGGACACCTAGGGGAGAACCCATGGCGACCCCATCTACTTGCTTATACATGTGCCCATCCGGGCTCAAGAGTGTGCCTCTTTAGTACAAGCTTGGAGTAGTTTCCTTAGAATGTTTTCTGGTATGTCAAGAGGAGTGCAGGCCGGATGACGATACACTCTGTCCGCTATCATCCCGATTGTTTCATCCACAGGTACGTTGGTAAACAGTGATTCTACGTCCAACGAGGCTCTTATCCCTGTGGCCCGTGTTCCCCACAGTAAGATCTCTGACAAAGTGAGTAGTTCTGTGGTCACCCGTCTCGAGCTCGAGCCTGGGGCTAAAATGTACAGTTTTTTAGTTAGTTTAGTTCATTTATTATGCACCCCATACCCATCTTGTGGGCGGTAGTGGAAAGGGTTACAGAGGCACATACTGGGCTCAGGGACTGAACCCCACAATTCATTTAGCTAAGCAAGTTACAATCTTGATGAGCTAGTTACAAAATTCAATATAAGTCATCACATCAACAATGGGTTCGAGATCGACCTCAAGTACAGGTTCTAAATTAAGCAACTGACATGTGGAGAGCTAGTGTCACAATGTACATGTTTGTCCTGCACACCGCCCAATGTGCAGCTCTACCGTCGGGAGTTTCAAATAGAACAAAGAGTCTAGAGAAAACCAGAGACAGGTTTAGGATCTATATTATGCAAAGAAGGTTCCGGCAAGGTCGGACGTTAGTTCCTGGTCCGGCCTCTAGTCATAATCCTCTCTTATAGCCTAACTATTGGACAGATATTTACGAGATTTTAAACATTCGTATTTTGGACGGGGTAAAAGGAAAAGACATAGTTCTTGGGCCCCGCCTTCAGTCATTGACCTCGGTTGTTTATTCCAGTTTCGTAGCAGTTTCTCAAATGTTTTTAGATTTGAAAACTGTCACATTTGGACATAGTATAAGGAAATTTAATAAAGCAGTAGACTGACCTTACGACAAATGCTAAGATAAGAGCACCTTTAGGGTTAAGGTGCGCACCTTTAGGAGCATTTTTCTGGAATGCCTTCGGGAGTAAGACTCTGTTTCGCACCAGACCCAAAGGGCGGCGCCCTTGGGAAACACTTTCCTTCATGTGCTGACGATGAGTCACAATAACGTGGCGGAAGATATGTTGACCAAATCACACATCAGAAGATAAAGAAACTACAACGTTTCGGTCCGTCCTGGACCATTATCAATTAAGTCTGACTGTGATAATGGTTTGAAACTCAACAATCGACTTGATAATGGTCCAGGACGGAAGGAACCATCGTCGTCTCTGTAACGCTTTTGCGCTACCGCTCACAGGATGAGTATGGGGTGCACAATAAACTAGCCGCCTTCAGCGGTAACAATCAAATCGTCGTCTCCTCATCTTCCGATGAGTGGGTTGGTCATCACTTACCTTCATGAGTGTAAAACTGTCAACTAACACCCGTCCACAGACGGAATAATAAGTTAGGCACTGTTCTACATGTTAAGGACAGAGGAGGTAAGACTGGCTTCCCCATTCCCCCTGTCCCCTCCCCCCACCCCTCTCCTCCCCCTCCACCGGTCTACCTCCTCCTTGCCCATTTCCCCATAACACAAATATGAGCTGAATCACTGAGGGAAGATCATAATTCTGTACGTGTTATGCTTCATTCTTCACTGACACATTCCTGGATAACTTGCCTCAGTGTAGAGGCTTCTGTCTGGAGCTCTATTGCCTCAGTGAGGAAGCTTCTGTCTGGAGCTCTATTGCCTCAGTGAGGAAGCTTCTGTCTGGAGCTCTATTGCCTCAGTGAAGAGGCTTCTGTCTGGAGCTCTATTGCCTCAGTGAAGAGGCTTCTGTCTGGAGCTCTATTGCCTCAGTGAGGAGGCTTCTGTCTGGAGCTCTATTGCCTCAGTGAGGAGGCTTCTGTCTGGAGCTCTATTGCCTCAGTGAAGAGGCTTCTGTCTGGAGCTCTATTGCCTCAGTGAGGAAGCTTCTGTCTGGAGCTCTATTGCCTCAGTGAAGAGGCTTCTGTCTGGAGCTCTATTGCCTCAGTGAGGAAGCTTCTGTCTGGAGCTCTATTGCCTCAGTGAAGAGGCTTCTGTCTGGAGCTCTATTGCCTCAGTGTAGAGGCTTCTGTCTGGAGCTCTATTGCCTCAGTGAGGAAGCTTCTGTCTGGAGCTCTATTGCCTCAGTGAAGAGGCTTCTGTCTGGAGCTCTATTGCCTCAGTGAGGAAGCTTCTGTCTGGAGCTCTATTGCCTCAGTGAAGAGGCTTCTGTCTGGAGCTCTATTGCCTCAGTGAGGAAGCTTCTGTCTGGAGCTCTATTGCCTCAGTGAGGAGGCTTCTGACTGGAGCTCTATTGCCCCAGTGAGGAGGCTTTTGTCTGGAGCTCTATTGCTTCAGTGAGGAGGCTTCTGTCTGGCGCTCTATTGCCCCAGTGAGGAGGCTTCTGTCTGGAGCTCTATTGCCCTGAGAAGGCTTCTGTCTGGAGCTCTATTGCTTCAGTGAGGAGGCTTCTGTCTGGAGCTCTATTGCCTCAGTGAGGAGGCTTCTGTCTGGAGCTCTATTGCCCTGAGAAGGCTTCTGTCTGGAGCGCTATTGCCTCAGTGAGGAGGCTTCTGTCTGGAGCTCTATTGCCTCAGTGAGGAGGCTTCTGACTGGAGCTCTATTGCTTCAGTGAGGAAGCTTCTGTCTGGAGCTCTATTGCCTCAGTGAAGAGGCTTCTGACTGGAGCTCTATTGCCTCAGTGAGGAGGCTTCTGACAGGAGCTCTATTGCCTCAGTGAGGAGACTTCTGACTGAAGCTCTATTGCCCCAGTGAAGAGGCTTCTGACTGGAGCTCTATTGCCTCTGTGAGGAGGCTTCTGTCTGGAGCTCTATTGCCCCAGTGAAGAGGCTTCTGACTGGAGCTCTATTGCCTCTGTGAGGAGGCTTCTGTCTGGAGCTCTATTGCCTCAGTGAGGAGGCTTCTGTCTGGAGCTCTATTGCCTCAGTGAGGAGGCTTCTGTCTGGAGCTCTATTGCCTCAGCGAGGAGGCTTCTGTCTGGAGCTCTATTGCCTCAGTGAGGAAGCTTCTGTCTGGAGCTCTATTGTCTCAGTGAGGAAGCTTGTCTGGAGCTCTATTGTCTCAGTGAAGAGGCTTCTGACTGGAGCTCTATTGCCTCAGTGAGGAGGCTTCTGTCTGGAGCTCTATTGCCTCAGTGAGAAGGCTTCTGTCTGGAGCTCTATTGCCTCAGTGAGGAGGCTTCTGTCTGGAGCTCTATTGCCTCAGTGAAGAGGCTTCTGTCTGGAGCTCTATTGCCTCAGTGAAGAGGCTTCTGTCTGGAGCTCTATTGCCTCAGTGAGAAAGCTTCTGTCTGGAGCTCTATTGCCTCAGTGAAGAGGCTTCTGTCTGGAGCTCTATTGCCTCAGTGAGGAGGCTTCTGTCTGGAGCTCTATTACCTCAGTGAGGAAGCTTCTGTCTGGAGCTCTATTGCCTCAGTGAAGAGGCTTCTGTCTGGAGCTCTATTGCCTCAGTGAGGAGGCTTCTGTCTGGAGCTCTATTGCCTCAGTGAGGAAGCTTCTGTCTGCTCTCTGACTATTTTTCACTTTTCTCTCCTCTTCTGCCGTAAATATATAAATCCAGAGGCCTAGACACGTCTTCCCCCCCCATTATGTGAAAGGGGGGCGGAATAGGTCATCCGGTGAGCAGGACCTGGTGCATGTGAGCAGGGCCTGGTGCATGTGAGCAGGGCCTGGTGCATGTGAGCAGGACCTGGTGCATGTGAGCAGGACCTGGTGCATGTGAGCAGGACCTGGTGCATGTGAGCAGGACCTGGTGCATGTGAGCAGGACCTGGTGCATGTGAGCAGGACCTGGTGCATGTGAGCAGGACCTGGTGCATGTGAGCAGGACCTGGTGCATGTGAGCAGGACCTGGTGCATGTGAGCAGGACCTGGTGCATGTGAGCAGGACCTGGTCATGTGAGCAGGACCTGGTGCATGTGAGCAGGACCTGGTGCATGTGAGCAGGACCTGGTGCATGTGAGCAGGGCCTGGTGCATGTGAGCAGGACCTGGTGCATGTGAGCAGGACCTGGTGCATGTGAGCAGGACCTGGTCATGTGAGCAGGACCTGGTGCATGTGAGCAGGACCTGGTGCAGGTGAGCAGGGCCTGGTGCATGTGAGCAGGGCCTGGTGCATGTGAGCAGGGCCTGGTGCATGTAAGCAGGACCTGGTCATGTGAGCAGGACCTGGTGCATGTGAGCAGGACCTGGTGCATGTGAGCAGGGCCTGGTGCATGTGAGCAGGGCCTGGTGCATGTGAGCAGGACCTGGTGCATGTGAGCAGGACCTGGTGCATGTGAGCAGGACCTGGTGCATGTGAGCAGGACCTGGTGCATGTGAGCAGGACCTGGTGCATGTGAGCAGGACCTGGTGCATGTGAGCAGGGCCTGGTGCATGTGAGCAGGACCTGGTGCATGTGAGCAGGACCTGGTGCATGTGAGCAGGACCTGGTCATGTGAGCAGGACCTGGTGCATGTGAGCAGGACCTGGTGCATGTGAGCAGGGCCTGGTGCATGTGAGCAGGACCTGGTGCATGTGAGCAGGGCCTGGTGCATGTGAGCAGGACCTGGTGCATGTGAGCAGGACCTGGTGCATGTGAGCAGGGCCTGGTGCATGTGAGCAGGACCTGGTGCATGTGAGCAGGACCTGGTGCATGTGAGCAGGACCTGGTCATGTGAGCAGGACCTGGTTCAGGTGACCTCACCACAGCTTATCGTTGTGTACAGGTCTTATCTGACTCTTCATTATTGTCCAGACCTGACCAACTCTACTCTGTGGCAGCTCCAACTCTGGCCACATATAAACTGTGTGCACATATATATATATATATATATATATATATATATATATATATATATATATATATATATATATATATATATATATATATTCATATTTTCAATATATATAAAAGGGCTACCTCCTCTGGTGCAAGTGTAGGGACCCATAGCCTCGGAGAAGAAAATAAAGAGTACTCAGAGAAGACCTTGTGGATCCTCACTGAACACTGATATTTTCTTCTCCTACCACCCCTATTCTTTTGGTATGTGTGTATATTTATCTAACTTTATTTAAAAATTTCATTACACAAAAAGGGTTACAACATTGGTTACATGCAGGGTACAAGACTACTTGTCACAAGTTGTACAGCTCCTCCAGCTCCTCAGATGGCGGGCAGGAACCATGGATGCAGTGAGCATTTCCTCTCTGGATCGCCACACTAAGGCCCTGAAAGAGAAAACTGGCAGCTCTAGGGTCTTTAGTTGTTTCACTTAGCTTGGTCCCCAGTTCCTTCAAAAAACTTGCAGCACTTTTACCCCAGGCACCAAGTGTCTCTGAGGCAATGGGGACAAAATTGTAGTGGTGATCAAGGTCTCCATATTTACGTGACTTGGCTGCTTCCCTCTGATTGGCAGCACCTCCTCCCTGTGCAGCACTGAAGTCAACATAGGTGTTGGTTAAAGTTGAAACGAAAGTGTAGTCCCACACCAACTGTCTACCATTCTTCCAGGGGTTCACCGTGATCCCGTCTGGGCGCCCGACAGGCTCATCAGAGTTGCAGGACATTAGGTAACGGGGCTCTCTCTCTGCTGGACAACCGGCCGTGGTAAGGCTTCTCTTGATAATGTCGTTAACCTCGCCGTGTCTTGCATGCCATCCTCCTGTCCTTTGGCGGAGAAGGCCATGCCGTCCTTACCTGTCAGCCTCTGCCTCGCCGCAAATACACCTGTATTCAGTGTGGATTGGGGCAGCGAGGCGGACAGCAACAGCAATTCGGTGGGCCTGCGGTGTGAGACGAGTGCCAGTTGCTGACATTGGGTTGCTAATAGGTAGTCCCCTGCATGGGGAGCTGCTACAGCTTTAAGTCGGGCAGTATCAAACGGAGCACGCCCTCCCCTCACGATCTCTTCAGCTCAAGCTCTTCTGAAGTGAGCCTCACTCCTCCAGCAAACTCTCCACATCTCATGTCAAGTCATTTATTTATATTCTTGTTCACTGCCCATACTCTTAAACTGTTTATCAAATTTAATCACGTGTTTACTATGCATATATCCACGTCTATATCTCTTTGACCTCTTAGTTAGGTCAGGCCTGATAGAATAACTCTCAGGGGTAAACTCGTTTCTCAGGCAGCCTGAGATCATAACCCTATTCTCTAGGGTTGTGAGATATAGTTAAATTGAGATATAATTAAATTATCCTCGTAGCTCAACCCTCTTAGCTCTGACACCAGTCTAGGTGCCCACCTGTGTACTCTCTCACCTCTTAAATTTAAATTTTGGCCAGGGAGGGGGGGGGGGCGAATTTATTGGGCAGCGCCACTCATCCTGTGAGTGGTCATATCGCCATAGCAGCATGTACAACACTCCCCAATAGGAAGAAAACCCGCTGGGTTGTTCATCCTGTCACTTGTACCCAGACACAGCTGGGACTTGCTTAACTGTCTCAAGTGAACAGCTCCTCAAACAAGAAGATTAACATCTATCAACCCTTAAAAGCTTACGTTATCTTGCGGGTGCAAAATGGGGGAATCTTTTAAGAACAGTATCAATATTTGACAAATAGTGTTTTCCTAACTCAAACAATGTGGGGTTTATTATTCTACACATACTTCTAATGTCTCTCAGGTGTTCACATTCACGTAGATAGTGGTCAAGGCGGTGTCCGTCACTCTCACCACAGATTCTGCAACTTCGCTGATCAACTGTTGTTTCCTGCCGGGCCAGCCAGAGGTTTAGGGCCCGCGCAGGAATATCCCAGCAAAAAAAAAAAAAAAAAAACTTGTTTCCATTCCATATCTCCATGGATATTTGTATCCAAGACGGATTCTCGCTATTACTGATTCTCTCCCTCGTCCTCCTCCTCCTCTTCGGCCATAATGATTGGGATTGCCAGCTGCAACCATGTTGTACCATCGTATAGATTCCCTGGTTTGTGCTTCTATCCTCCTTTCCTCAGTTACCTTGTCACGGTGATGTTGCCTGACAATACCTCTAATTTGTAGTAGAGTCTTGGGTATGAAGTATTCAATATGGTCTCCTTCAGCGCCTTCAGCAGCCGGCACATCTGCTCGTTCATTCCCACATATTCCAACATGGGAGGAGATCCACAGAAACTTGATGACTCTTCCCTGATTGGTAAGTACTCTCACAGCTCTCTTAATTTCACCGACTATTGCAAGATTTTCTGCCTGATTTTTACTTAGGCTCTGCAGTGCTGCTTTTGAATCGGTGCAAATCACTGCACTATTCATCTCTTGTTTTTTGCTTCACAAGATGCAGATTCCATGCCAAAGTAGGTGTAGGTGGTGGTGGTGCAGTGGTGGAGGAGTCAGGTGTAGGTGGTGGTGCAGTGGTGGAGGAGTCAGGTGTAGGTGGTGATGCAGTGGTAGAGGAGTCAGGTGTAGGTGGTGAAGCAGTGGTAGAGGAGTCAGGTGTAGGTGGTGGTGCAGTGGTGGAGGAGTCAGGTGTAGGTGGTGGTGCAGTGGTGGAGGAGTCAGGTGTAGGTGGTGATGCAGTGGTAGAGGAGTCAGGTGTAGGTGGTGGTGCAGTGGTGGAGGAGTCAGGTGTAGGTGGTGGTGCAGTGGTGGAGGAGTCAGGTGTAGGTGGTGGTGCAGTGGTGGAGGAGTCAGGTGTAGGTGGTGATGCAGTGGTAGAGGAGTCAGGTGTAGGTGGTGGTGCAGTGGTGGAGGAGTCAGGTGTAGGTGGTGGTGCAGTGGTGGAGGAGTCAGGTGTAGGTGGTGGTGCAGTGGTGGAGGAGTCAGGTGTAGGTGGTGATGCAGTGGTAGAGGAGTCAGGTGTAGGTGGTGGTGCAGTGGTGGAGGAGTCAGGTGTAGGTGGTGGTGCAGTGGTGGAGGAGTCAGGTGTAGGTGGTGGTGCAGTGGTGGAGGAGTCAGGTGTAGGTGGTGGTGCAGTGGTGGAGGAGTCAGGTGTAGGTGGTGGTGCAGTGGTGGAGGAGTCAGGTGTAGGTGGTGGTGCAGTGGTGGAGGAGTGGAGGTGGTCAGGTGTAGGTGTAGGTGGTGGTGCAGTGGTGGAGGAGTCAGGTGTAGGTGGTGGTGCAGTGGTGGAGGAGTCAGGTGTAGGTGGTGGTGCAGTGGTGGTGAGTCAGGTGTAGGTGGTGGTGCAGTGGTGGAGGAGTCAGGTGTAGGTGGTGGTGCAGTGGTGGAGGAGTCAGGTGTAGGTGGTGGTGCAGTGGTGGAGGAGTCAGGTGTAGGTGGTGGTGCAGTGGTGGAGGAGTCAGGTGTAGGTGGTGGTGCAGTGGTGGAGGAGTCAGGTGTAGGTGGTGGTGCAGTGGTGGAGGAGTCAGGTGTAGGTGGTGGTGCAGTGGTGGAGGTGAGTGCAGGTGTAGGTGTAGGTGGTGGTGCAGTGGTGGAGGAGTCAGGTGTAGGTGGTGGTGCAGTGGTGGAGGAGTCAGGTGTAGGTGGTGGTGCAGTGGTGGAGGAGTCAGGTGTAGGTGGTGGTGCAGTGGTGGAGGAGTCAGGTGTAGGTGGTGGTGCAGTGGTGGAGGAGTCAGGTGTAGGTGGTGGTGCAGTGGTGGAGGAGTCAGGTGTAGGTGGTGGTGCAGTGGTGGAGGAGTCAGGTGTAGGTGGTGGTGCAGTGGTGGAGGAGTCAGGTGTAGGTGGTGGTGCAGTGGTGGAGGAGTCAGGTGTAGGTGGTGGTGCAGTGGTGGAGGAGTCAGGTGTAGGTGGTGGTGCAGTGGTGGAGGAGTCAGGTGTAGGTGGTGGTGCAGTGGTGGAGGAGTCAGGTGTAGGTGGTGGTGCAGTGGTGGAGGAGTCAGGTGTAGGTGGTGGTGCAGTGGTGGAGGAGTCAGGTGTAGGTGGTGGTGCAGTGGTGGAGGAGTCAGGTGTAGGTGGTGGTGCAGTGGTGGAGGAGTCAGGTGTAGGTGGTGGCAGTGGTGGAGGGTCAGGTGAGTCAGGTGTAGGTGGTGGTGCAGTGGTGGAGGAGTCAGGTGTAGGTGGTGGTGCAGTGGTGGAGGAGTCAGGTGTAGGTGGTGGTGCAGTGGTGGAGGAGTCAGGTGTAGGTGGTGGTGCAGTGGTGGAGGAGTCAGGTGTAGGTGGTGGTGCAGTGGTGGAGGAGTCAGGTGTAGGTGGTGGTGCAGTGGTGGAGGAGTCAGGTGTAGGTGGTGGTGCAGTGGTGGAGGAGTCAGGTGTAGGTGGTGGTGCAGTGGTGGAGGAGTCAGGTGTAGGTGGTGGTGCAGTGGTGGAGGAGTCAGGTGTAGGTGGTGGTGCAGTGGTGTCAGGTGTAGGTGGTGGTGCAGTGGTGGAGGAGTCAGGTGTAGGTGGTGGTGCAGTGGTGGAGGAGTCAGGTGTAGGTGGTGGTGCAGTGGTGGAGGGTGTCAGGTGTAGGTGGTGGTGCAGTGGTGGAGGTGTCAGGTGTAGGTGGTGGTGCAGTGGTGGAGGAGAGGAGTGGTGGAGGAGTCAGGTGTAGGTGGTGGTGCAGTGGTGGAGGAGTCAGGTGTAGGTGGTGGTGCAGTGGTGGAGGAGTCAGGTGTAGGTGGTGGTGCAGTGGTGGAGGAGTCAGGTGTAGGTGGTGGTGCAGTGGTGGAGGAGTCAGGTGTAGGTGGTGGTGCAGTGGTGGAGGAGTCAGGTGTAGGTGGTGGTGCAGTGGTGGAGTCA